AAAGTGAGCCCAGACCCACCTCTACGCACTGTCAGCCTCTTCCCACCTCACCCCTCCTGGGGAGCTGTGGATGCAGGATGGTCAGAACCCTTCACGATGCTTCCCTTCTGCTTGGCTGACACCTAGGATGTGACCCTTCAGAAGACACAGATCCCAGTAAAGCCCGAGATACTCCTGGTCTTTAAAATTTTTTTTCAATTACAGTTGTCATTCAATATTATTTCATATTAATTTCAGGTGTACAGCATAGTGGTTAAGCGCTTATATAATTTACAAAGTGACCCTCCCCCGATAATTCTAGTACCCATCTGACACCATACATAGTTATTACAATATTATTGACTATATTCCCTATGCTGTACTTTACATCCCTGTGACTATTTTGTAACTACCAATTTGTACGTCTTAATCCCTTCCCCCTTTTCACCCAGCCCCCCAACACCCCTCCATCAGGTTCAGATGGCCAACAGACATATGAAAAGATGCTCAGCGTCACTAACCTTCAGAGAAATGCAAATTAAAACCACAATGAGATATCACCTTGCACCTGTCAGAATGGCTGCCATCAATCAATCAATAAACAATAAGCATTGTCGAGGGTGTGGAGAGAAGGGAACCCTCAGGCACTGTTGGTAGGACTGCAGATCGGTGCAGCCACCGGGGAAGAGGTTGTATTGTTGAGAGAAGCAAGGCAAAGCACAGTATAAGCAGCCTATCCCATTTTATATTTATGGCTTCTTAAACAGACAGAGTTAATAGTGACTTAAACAAGAGAGAGGTTTATTTCTCTCCCATAAAATGCGAGTGGCACCTGGGGAGTTGGCAGGTCTGCTCCATGAAGACGCCCAGGAGCCCAGGGTCCTATTTCGTGTTTCGCGGCTTCCCTGGCCCCCATGTGCAGGACGAAGGTGGGCCACCAGCACCACTTCCCGTGTCCCAGCCGGTGGGAGGCAGGGAGGGGGACGGGTAGGGATGCTGGTTACTACGCTGCATAACAAGTTACCCTAAGACGCAGGGTCTTAAAACAACCATTATATTTTACTCATGATTTTGTAGGACAGGATTGGGAAGGGCTCGACTAGCCAGTCGCCACTTGGAGTCTCTCATAGTGACAGTCAGGCTGGCTGGGCTGCAGTCGTCTGAAGGCTCACTCACCCTGCTGGGTGCCGCTCGCTACTGGGGGGGCTCAGCCGAGGTTGTTGATGCAACACCTACGCGTGGCCTCTCCAGCGTGATGTTCTGGGGGTACCTGGACCTACATGGTAGCTTTGGAGACACTCTTGTGCGATGGGATATGGAGGACAGGATGCCGGTCAGATTCCTGGCAGTCTCCTATGTGGGGGCTCCTCTTCCCCTCGCTACTGTACACTCGCCTTTACCCTGTGACCCCAGGGTTTTCTGGGGTGTTCCTTTCCTAGTCTCCTCACAGCCCTCACTCCATCCTCAACACTGTCCAATGGCCATCCGCCCTGCTCCGAAGGGCAAGGTTC